GGAGGAGGAGGAAGGGAAGCCCTCGCCCGCCTGCCCGCCCCGTTACCTCGTTGCTTTTCTTCTTGAAGACGCACTCCACCTTCTTGCCAGGCGTGGGCTCCCACGGGATCTAAGATGGAGAGGGAGAGACACGGCTTAGAAAAGGAGAAAGTGCCCAAATTTGGGGGACAGGGCGTGAGGATTAAAAGCGGGCCCACCGCAGGCACAAGATGAGAAGCCAAGGCTCCCCTGAGGGAAGTAAAGCAGTGCTGGAAAACCGGGAGGCAGCAGGAGAAGAGGAACACCAAACGTGAGATAGATAAACGGCATGAAAGAAGCCACGAGGTCAGGTTTGCAAGAGCTGAGCGGGGCTGTTAAAGGCTGGACCTCTTGGAAGGTACTAAGATATAGGGTCACCGTCAGTCGGAAGTGAGTTTGTGGTGCAAGAGGGAATGGCTGTCGAGCTCCCAAAGCTGAGACCAAGCTTCGCAAGGTGCTACAAAAGTCTCAGGGTGTTTTTTTTTAAACTGCAACCCTTGTCAAAACGGTGTCTCCCCAGAAAGGTGAAACGAGAGGTGCCTCAAAGAAGTTGGGTGCCTCTCCTCTTTTCTCCCTTGCTGATCTTACATCATCTGTTGCTGGTTTTTCAAATATATGTTGGGAGTGTTTTGCAATTTTGCATGCTGCCTTTTAGGAGGGACTTTTCCGGGCTGGGCTGGCTGTCAATCGATCCAGCGGTTTGCAAGAGCTGAGCAGGGCTGTTAAAGGCTGATTTTTCAAATATATGTTGGGAGTATTTTGCAACTTTGCATGCTGCCTTTTAGGAGGGACCTTTCTGGGCTGGGGTGGCTGTCAATCGATCCAGCACTAACCAATCCTTCTCTCCTGCCTCTGAATGAAAAGAAAGCCCCGCCTTTCTGCCCATTGTCCCTTTCCCTCTCCGAAATGTTGGAAGTCTGTGGTTGAAAGCAGTCGTGTTGGTCAGTTCACTGTGGATTGGTAAGTAAAGAAATGGTTTTTATTTCTTTCTGCTACTAATGTCTCTGAGTGATTTATTCGGAGTGTTTTGCAATTTTGCATGCTGCCTTTTAGGAGGGACTTTTCCGGGCTGGGCTGGCTGTCAATCGATCCAGCGCTAACCAATCCTTCTCTCCTGCCTCTGAATGAAAAGAAAGCCCCGCCTTTCTGCCCATTGTCCCTTTCCCTCTCCGAAATGTTGGAAGTCTGTGGTTGAAAGCAGTCGTGTCTGTCAGTTCGCTGTGGATTGATAAGTAAAGAAATTGTTTTTATTTCTCGATGGTGTCTATGGATGAGAAAAAGGAGTGGACCAAATTCGGAAACTTGAAGCTTTTCTCCTCTGAGACTCCCTGCACCTTGGCTGAGCTGCTAGAGGAATTGAACCCAAAATTTCACAGCTCTGAAACAATTCCTGCCTCCCGCTCACCTCGCCCTTCAGCTGGATGGAGTCCGGGTTGCTGATATCCAGGGCCACGATGGTGTCTCTAGCCCCCACGTAGAGAGTCGCCCCGTCTTCGCTCAGGAGGAACGTGTCGTAGTTCAGGACCCCCTTGCGGCTGAAGGAGGTGAGGAGACGGCTGGAGTCCCCTAAAGGCAGGGGGAAAAGGCGGTTCAGTGCATTTACTCTCGAGGAGAGCAAGGAAGAACAAGTTAAACTGGGCCAAACTCAAACCTATAACGAGAGGAGGAATCACAGTCATGTAGAGACGTGATTTAGGAAGACTTTCAGGTCAGATATATATATATTTCCTGGCAGGAAGAAATTATTATTATTATTATTATTATTTTTGGGTGAAATTTATTCTCCCCCCCCTTCGCGGCTGAAGGAGGTGTGGAGACGGCTGGAGTCCCCTAAAGGCAGAAAAGGCGGTTTAGTGCATTTACCCTCGAGGAGAGCAAGGAAGAACAAGTTAAACTGGGCCAGACTCAAACGTATAACGAGAGGAGGAATCGCAGTCATGTTGTAGAGATACACCTATCTTTACATCCCTGGTTTGAATTTCTGGACCAGTTCTGGAAGCCGGAGGGGGGGGGAAGGGGAAACCCATTACAAAAATGCATTGTCTTTGTTTCAAAAAGGGGTGGGAATAGGCTTCCCCCACCCCTAGCAGCAGCTTTATCCAGATCCCCCTGGGAAAGGATTAGCCGAGCAGGTGATTGGAGGAGGAAGGAGACTGAAGAGGATTTTAAAATAATAGTAATAATAATTCTGCTACCAAAAATTTTCAAGTGGATTAATTGCTTGGTCCAGGGGAAAGAAATGCATTTTTGTTTTTGTTTTTGTTTTTAAAAAAGCCTGCTTAATCCACTTGAGAGGCGGTTTTCCACTTTCCAAGGAGCATCTTGTCTTGGCAAAAAAAAGCCATTTTCTATCATTAACATTTCCTGCCTCCTGCCCTCCGAAAACTGCTTAGTAGGCAGCTCAAGAGCCCCTCGGCGCTTCCACTCTCCCTTTTCTTCCCCTTTCTTCGAAACCACCACCACCGCTTCGCACAAGGCTGAATCCTGCCCCCCCCCTCCTTCCAGGCGGGAGCCCAAACAGGCCTGGTTGGTGAATTCGCACCCTGGCCCTAATTTGTGCGCCGAGTCAGAAGAGGACAGGGGCGGCTTTTGCCAACCTTGCGCCCTCCAGAAGCACCAGACTACAAGTCCCATCGCTCTTTCCCAGGCTCTAGCGCTTGAGGCTGGAGCGAAGCCACAGGAACGACAGGAACGAGGCCCCCCTTTCCAGAAACGTCTGTCTGGGCCCACGCAGCCACATCCTTCCCTTGCGCCAGTTCCGATACCCGCTTCCCCCCCAGTTCAGGGAACCTTCGCACCCGCTGCCCTCCCACTTCCTCTCCCGGCTGACATTTTACACTTCAGTTTCTGTCAGTGGGGGCTCCGGACTGCCTCAACCCACCCTTGCCAGGAAAGCCTCCAGCCTGCCCACACTGGGGGGCGGCAGTGAGGTGTCTCCCAGCTGTTTGTACCCAGGTGGAGATTCGAACCCAGATCTCCCAAGCCTTAGGCCAGCTCTCCAACCACCGCCCATACTGCCACCGTCTCCTTATGCCGATCCTCTGATGAGTCCCGCCTCGGATTTTGCTAGAAGGTGCTCATTTCCTCGTCTGTCTGCACTTATAGGGATTTATTGACCCCCTGCCTGGAAACCCGCTTCCCACGACAGCTTTTCTGTCCTCCGTCTTCGCCTTGAGGGGACCATTTTGTGGCAATTTTAAACAATCGTTGTCCCAGGGGGACGAATAAATGAGATCTTAGAGGTGCGAGGACAGGGTTTGTCAAATTCCTAGCCCGGACGCCGTACCTCAAGTGCAAAGAAGACCCCCTTGATTCAGAATGAGAAAATTGGGCGTGTGTGTGTGTGTAATGATTGTGGATGATGAAGGCATGATCCTACACACACACACACACACACACACACACACACCAGCAAAGAAAGATGAAAGGCACTTCTTAGGAGCCCCGAGGAATCCTGATTCTCCTTTGAAAAGAGGGACGGATCTCGGTTTCACCGACAGAGCAGGTGAAGATCATGGAAAACGTCCTGACTGTTAGAGCAGAACGACAACAGGACCCATGGCCTCGGATGATGGGGACTGGTCTTACGTTGGAGGCATTCAAGAGGAAACGGGACCACCCGCTGTCCGATCTGCTTGGATTTGGGTTCCTGTGTGGGTCAGACTTGATGGCCTTCGAGGCCCCTTCCAACTCCATCATCCTTTGATTCTTGCACTAATCCGCTCCGCCTCCCCACAAGCCCCATACACGGGCAAGCTTTTGAGTCCTGCAGGAGTCTTCATCGGGCTGAATGACGGACTGGAAATACCATCCCCAAAATTTCCAAACTCAAGCCAACGCATCGAAAAATAGGGTGTCCTCTGTGTGTGTGTAAAAAAAAAAACCCTCCAAAAACGATCCCACTCTTCGTCTTCTCTGTCTCCTCTTCCTAAGTCACGTCATGCCAGGTCTGATGAAGAACCCAGTAAGATCTGGAAACCTGTATCCTTGAAGTGAGCACAGATCTCCTGAAAACCAGCTCTCCTTCATATCCAGGGAACTTTTTCATTTCTTGCAAAAAAAAAAATTAATAAATACATATATAGAGAGAGATCTCTAATTTTTTTCCTTCCTCTCGGTAAAGCGGCAGGAGAGAAGATCTATCTCCTTTATGACACTTTCGCAAGTGATTAAAAAGATTGTCCAGTCCACATTTTGGAGACCTTGCCCCCGGATCTGAGAGCTGCGTCTCTCCTCAATTTCTTCCTTGGTCTTGATTTTCTCCGGCCTTCTTTTCCAGCCCTCCCAAAGCATGTGAAACAACACGCTTCAGCGCACCGGCTTCAAGAAGCCTCAGCCCACGTTGTTCGGGCAGTTTTCCCAGACGGTGGATCAGGCCCATCGTTTCTCGGCCAGGCTTTCACCCTCTTTCGAACCCCCCACCCCCCCTGCCTCTGCCCTGCAGTGTAAGCAAAAAATAAAAATGATTCAAAAGCAGGCAGCAGGGAGAAGAATCGATAGGGCAGCCGAGCGCCCGGAGAAGAAGTGGCAGCTGCCGTTTGCTTTCCCTGCAGCCCCGGCACAGATGCTGGAATAATTACTGCCCGCGGGGGGGGGGGGGGGAGAGGCGGCTTTTATTGGGCCAACGGTATTTTGGGTGAACACAAAACCTCCTTCCCTCTCAGCGCCCAGCCTCCAACAGGCTTCCGTGCGCTGGGTGGTCTCCGATGAAAATGATAGGCCTGAAGTGGCCATCATCACAGGCCTCCGGTGCTGAAAGACGGCGAGCAAGGAAGAGCATGGCAATGCCAAGCCAGGGCCGTGTGCGAGTCTGTACAAGAAGGGATCCCTCTGGACACCAAGGTGGCCCCTCCAGAGCAGCTTGGCTTGCCTGGTGTGGTGGCCGGAATGATCTCTGTACCCAGTAACAGGACTGGTTAGGATGATTGCAGGTGGTTGGGGAAGTGGAGAGGCTGGGTTACAAACTGGGAAAGAAGCCGCTGGAATCCGCCGGCTGTTGGCAATACCCCGTGTGACGTGGTTGCTTCCTGTTGAAAGAAATATTGACAACCACGGTCAGCCTGGACCAGACCAAACAGGGGAAATTTACGCTTCTGGGTTTTGCTTCTCTTTTTAAACTCAGCACTGATGCAAGTTGTGAGATTTAGCAGAAGGGAGGTGCCAGCAGTGGGGCGGGGCGGCGCTGAAGCGCTCCTCTGCTTTAGCGCTGCGCTGATAGGGCACATCTCACAGCCAACATCTGCTCTTGGGCAGGACCCTTCATGCGTGCTTCCCTCAATCGCAGGTCCTGACATTGTGCCAGGGTGCCGGGAGGCTCACCCAGTGGGCCACGGCGCTGCACCCTGCCCTCCCCATTTAGGGAGGGAGAGAAAAGGTCAAGGAAGTGGAGAAGCAGGAAGCAGGGAAGGCAGGAGAAATGAAGGAAAAACCCGGAGCAAACTTCATTGACAGATACTGTATCCAGATGACTGGGCTGTTGGAAATGTGAAATCCTTGGAAGACTGACTAGACACGTGGATTTAGGGATGCCTAAGTTAGCGTCAAAACAACAAAGATCATGCCCAATGGTCCCATCACTGGGCTGTTGGAAATGTGAAATCCTTGGAAGCCTGACTAGAGACGTGGATTTAGGGACGCCTAAGTTAGCGTCGAAACAGCAAAGATCATGGCCACTGGTCCCATCACCGCCTGGCAAAGAGAAGGGGAAGATATGGAGGCAGTGACAGATTTTACTTTCTTGGGCTCCATGATCACTGCAGATGGAGACAGCAGCCACGAAATTAAAAGACGCCTTCTTCTTGGGAGGAAAGCGATGACAAACCTTGACAGCATTTTAAAAAACAAAGACATCACCTTCCCAACCAAAGTCCGTATAGTCAAAGCTATGGTTTTTCCAGTAGCAATGTATGGAAGTAAGAGCTGGACCATAAAGAAGGCCGACTGCTGAAGAATGGATGCTTTTGAATTGTGGTGTTGGAGGAGACTCTTGAGGGTCCCCTGGACTGCAAGGAGAACAAACCTACCCATTTTGAAGGAAATCAACCCTGAGTGCTCACTGGAAGGACAGATCCTGAAGCTGGGGCTCCAATATGTTGGCCATCTCATGAGAAGAGAAGACTCC